AGAACATATAATTACACAAACATTTGCCTTACATGTCTTAAACATTTCATGACATTTAAAACATTAAGTAACTTCAAAGTATATTTTTCTTTTTAAAAAATGTTTATGGGTAACTTGTTTTTATATCAGTCATATTTTCAAACCCCTCTTTCCCTCCCAAAGAACAATAACAAAGAGAACAGTTTAGCAAAACTAACCAACATATTGAAAAAAGTCTGACATTACCTACGATATTCCACAACCACAGCCTATTTCTATAAAGAAGAAAGGGAGGTTATCTTATATTTTTTCTTTGGTGCAAAGTTTGATCATTATTAATTTCACTGTACTTGTTTTTTCTTTTAATAAACTTTTATTGATATCTTTGTTACACTGCCTCAATTTCTCCCAGCAGTACTTTTCTGCCCCCTTTCCAGAGAGTCATTTCATATAACAAAGAATATTTTTTTAAAGAAAAAAGAGGAAGAAATCAGCAAAACCCAACTAATACACTGAAAAAGTCTGAAGATATAGGCAATGTTCTATACCCATGCACCTTGAACCTCTGCAAAGGAGTTGGGGAAGGTATTTTCATGTCTTATTTAGGGCAATACTAGCTCTTTGTAATTATGCAACATTCATTTTCAATTAACTTGTAGCTACTATTATTTGCATTTAAATTGTTATAGACATTCTATATACCGTTTTCGGGGCTCTGCTTACTTCATTCTACATTAGTTCCTATAGGTTTTCTATGCCTCTCTGTATGCATCATATTTGTCATTTCTTATAGCACAGTAATATTCCATCAAACTCATATACCATAATTTGTTCAATCATTCCACAATCTACTTTGTTTCCAGTTCTTTGTTACCTCAAAAAGTTCAGTGTTCAGTTTCAATTGTTGCTGTTCTTTCTTTTTACTTTGCTGTCACTATGTACATTATCTTCCCAGTTCAGCTAACTTCACTTTGATTAAGTTCATATACAGTAAGTCTTCGCATGCTTCTCTATGTAGAAGGATAGTTGGTCTTAGACTAAATGATTTAACCTCCTTCCCTCACTTGATGGAATCACAGATAATAAGGAGTTAATGTTTTAAAAGGTGTTAACATCCCGCTGTCTTTTCCCAGCAATGTGAACATCTTTTTCCATGGAATTGAAGCAATGATGAAAACTGGCCAAACTCCTGGAGGTCTCTAAATAGCTAAGCCAGGAATCAGATGGTGAGGTGGTCTGAGAGTCTGAGGCAGTCTAGATTGGAACATGTTTTGTTAGGAGTGGCCATTGTGCCTAAACAAAGGTAGTAGTGGAGAGTTTCTCTCTTCCCCTTCCAATAAGTAAATGGCTCTTTGAATCTTTGCCCACTGTCAGATGGCTAGTAAGCGTATGAGCTAGGAATCAAAACTAGATCTTTCCTGATTCCAAGTTCAACATTCTTTCTTCTATATCATATTGTTTTCTCAATCCACAGTAGGATGGCACTGTAAACATGTTACTTACCTCCTCCCCAGTAAAATTCTATGATTTAGAGTACTAATTGTTTTCAATGTTTAGGACTCATGGGAAAAACCATACTCACTAGGCCATTCACATATACAGGCCATGCATGAACTGGGTGTTTTAAAAATTGAGGAATGTCTACATATATCCTTTTTTGGATATACATTTTCAAAATTGCTAAACATTATCTTCAACATAACACTTCTCAATTTGTTTTTGTTTGCAACTATAACACCCCTTTCCAATTAAGTTAAACAAGTATTTGCCCAGTATTCATATAAAATAAGGCTAGGCTGTATGGCGGATACATAAAGGTATAATCGGGTTTGTTACTTGAAGCACTTTATAATCTAGTTGAATAGACAACACAGAAGGACATAAAACGATCAGAAGTATAAAGATGAATACAACAGCTTTCAATAAACTACTAAACTGAATGTAATCAAATACCAAATTGTAAGGTCCTAGGAACACAAAAATAAAAATTAGGGATTCCCTCTACTTTCCACAAGAGGTAAGTCAGGGATGGCTTCACAGAAAAAGAACTTAAGCTGAGCCTTGAAGGAAGGTAAGGATTATGAAAGGCAAAAACCAAGGAGGGTATACATATGAGGCAGGACTGATGTTCCATGTGAATACACAAAAATAAGCTATGGCATGCTGAATTCAGGGAATTTGCCTAGAACATAGAATGCATGAAGATGAATGTTATCAAATAAAACTGGAGGTAAAGATGAATGTTATCAAATAAAACTGCAGGTAAACTGAAAGCAAATCACGGAGTATAGTTGGACACTGAAAGACTAGCAGAATGGATAGAGTAAGTGGTTAGAGAAAGCATTCTGGGCAGGTGGGACTGCAAGAGTAAAAGCACTAAGGTGGTAATGAATATGCTACACGCAGGATGAAAGAGACTAGTTTCTATCAAAAAAACTAGATAAAATGTAGCAATTTTAATATCTTATCATACTCTGTTAGCATGAACTTCAACTTGTATTTCCAATTTCATTAAAAACAGAATCAATTATATTTAAAGACATATATCACCAGAAAAGGAGACGATCTCGTCATGTAGGGAGAAGAGGCAAAAGATAACAACTTGATTGCTACATACTTTTGAGATACTGAAAGAGGCAGAAGAAGGTATCTAGCACACTGTATATTCTACGGCAGTCTGTGGACAGACAAGAATAAGGAGTTGCAGTATGTATGGATGAAGGACACCCACACCAATGAGATCAATAAAAAATGATATTCATCAGGGAAATATTAATATAAAAAAGCTAAATTCTGCATGCAAATAAAATTAAACATGATGAAATTAAGGTAACTGATTTTTGCTGTTTAGCTTTAATATTTTTAGTATTTACTATTTTCAATTCAATTTAAAAATACAGGAATACATAAAAGAGAAATGATTAGCAAAATTGTAATCCTTTGAATAATAATATATCAAAACAAAATATTCCTTGTTAGAATTTCAAGAAAATTCAAAAGAAAAAATATTTTATATACAGAACAAAACATATAGAACAATAATCCAGAGTAAGTTAAACATTTCCATATGAGAAGTATTACTATAAAAGATACCTGCCCTTAACTAAAAAACTAAAACCACATTTCTTACATTTTCTTATATTTACATAAAAAATCCCTTCATATGCTCATATACACATAATACATATATGTCATTTCAAATGGGGAACTTTGAGAAATTTATTATTTTTGCTAGTTCAAAGAAATCACAATTTAAAAATACAGAATCATACTTATATACTGAATCTTTTATTATTCCCAACAGATAAGCTGAGGTACCTCTGACCTAATATCCTTCATGTGATCACAGATACAGAGCTGAAAGGGACTTTAAAGCAAAATTATTGTCTTGCTAAACACAACATACGATAGTATGAAAGAAGCAGGAATTGTATGTGAAACAGGTACTCTTCCGTCAGAAGTAACCAGTCCTGTCTTCAAATATTGCTGGAAGAGTGAAAGATGTCCCTTTGTGAAAAATATGGGGCTGATAATCAATTTTACTATATGACACATTATAAAGTTCTGTGCATATCTCCTTGGCGAACATTAGTCATTGACCAAAAGTTGGCTATTTTGGCAAGTGATATAACTAAATGATAACTAAATGATGTAGTTTTGGGTCTTGTTTCTACTTTTGCTAATTTTTTTTAGTATCCTCCCTCATTAGGAAGAGGCTGGTTGTCCATATCTGCTCCTATTACTATGCTATCAACAATCCTTTCAATTCTTTTCATCTGTTGTCAACTGGGAAGTCAGATAGCCAAGTCTGTTAGAATTATTTCTAAAACAAGAATAAATTAATTGTGGCAGAGAAATAACACCGTATTTATGAGTTATGCCAGTGAGTTCCCAGCTCTGGTTGGCTAGAAAGGTTTTGACTATGGTCTCTAGCAACAGTTTTGCTTTTCTTTCAAAAGACCAGAATTACTAAGTATGAACTCACCACCAGTAAGCTGGCCACTCTGTGATGAACTCTTTGGCCATGGTAATCTATGAAACAAATAAGCCCCAAGTGGAAGTGTCTATTAGCTTTCCTCTGAGGTAAGTGTATTACCTTTGGTTCATGGTCTTTGAGGCATCATAGCTAAAAAAATGACATACAGACAACTACAATACAAAATGGTATGTAAGTAAAATGTAAGCACAGTGCTATATGAAATCTGTGGGTAGAACCAGTTTCATGAAAGAGGCAGTATTCGAATTGGGCTTTTATGTAGGAATTCAGAAGAGAGGTTGGAGGAAGGCAGTCCACGTCTTGGCTTTCCTTCAAATACATGAAACTCCCAAATAAATGACCTCTACACACATGAAGTGTTACTATGTATTTTACCTTATCCATCCACCCAGATCGACTTCTTTCTTCAATTCCGAGGACAAATAAGTCTTTTAAACTAACACAAATATACAACCTAAGCAAAGGTATTATTTACAAACTTTCCCTGGCATAGGAAATAGTAATTGGTAGTGTTTCCTCTGCTAGACCACAGCTCGCTTACAAAGATGAAGTACTGACACACCCCACCCCCATTCCAAAGGAAACACTAGTTTGGGGAAGGGGTGGTAATATTAAATGTCAATGTAGCAATTTACCAGACTTTTCCAGTGAAAAGTATGCCCCAGAACAAACAAAATTCACCTTATTTACCCACAAATAATGGAACATTGACTACCATACAATTAACAAAAAGTTAGGCAACAAATATTAATTAAATGTATACTAAGTTTGAGACATTGTCTTAAGTGCTAGACTGAACTAAGCACTGGTTATAATAAATAATTTGGTCTATTATCATTATCTTAGTCTTTCATTTTTATCTTCTAGCCTGCTACCTGCTAGATATTTATGTACTTTAAAATCTATAACTTTGACATCCTCATATATGAGAGTGCAAAAATAATATAAGGGATACATTTTCAAAGCTATCTACCCTCCCCTCCCCCATTTAAAAATTATTATTATTATTATTATTATTTTTTACCATGGATAGGAGAGCCTTCATCAGCAAACAAAAAAGGTTCCATATCTTTCAGGGAACTTCTACCTTCAAGTCGAGCAAGAAGCTTTCAAACAAACAAAAAGAGAAAAAAAGCTCATTAGCTATAAATAATGACCATTAAACAACTACATTTATGAATGTAAGAATGCCTGCTAGCAATCCCTTTGGCCTGGGATAAAATGCTGCAGATAATAAAAGTACAAAATGAGGTAAAATGATAAGGTAACTTAGGAGGCTGTTTGTCATGTCAAAATATTAACAGTAAAAATTGACCACCAGTATGGCAAAAAATAATTATTATGAACTTTCTTCATCTCATATAATCAAGAGGAATCTAATCATTAGTTCAGTTGTGAACCAGATGCATATTTAAAGGTGTGAAACATTTTATACCTTCGATAAAGTTTTATTATGAAGTCTCATCATGGAACAGTGGTAACAATGGGTTTTCCAAGGTAAGCTCAAGGTCTACACTAAGCTGAAAAGCTTTCTTGAATGCCAGTCTGGTGATGGGTTCTTTATCTCCTTTTTGAGGAGCTGCCTGGCTAAGGTTTGGGAGACTCCCTATCCAGAAGGCTGGGCACAAGGTGATTTTCTTTTTTCAGGGGAGGGGAAGCACAGCAAGTCTACTGTAGGGGTTGCAATCTGCATTAATGGGAGTATCGACATACCAGTGAAATCACAGATAGGTGAAACATTTAAGAAAATTAGGTTACTCACTATTCTGTAGGTGAGTATATACATATACAGAGTATTAAAGGAGATTTAAAACATCACGCCAGCATTTATTAACCTAAATGATTACTGCACTTCAAAGTACTTAGCTTGAGAGGTTATATACTTATCACAATAATTCTTCCATCATTCAAAACATTTCTGGAAGCCTCTTTTAAATTATCCTCTGAGCCAAACAAGAAAACAAGTCTCATCATTAGTGTATGATCACAAGTAGTACAGTAACTAGGGATTTGTGTGCCCAAGGTAAGTGGCAAAAAAAACCCCGTTCTGATTTAGGGGAAGAAGAAGCTGGGGAAGGGAGCAGAGAAAGTGACCCCAACATAGCAGTCTGAGGCTGCTGTGCTGGGAAAAGGGGAATGCTATGATACACGGGAAGAATTCACCTAGCCTATCATCTGATAGCTCCCTATCTTAACTAATCTTGCTAAATATTAAACACACCATTTCTAGTCTGCTAAATAACTGCAAAAACTCTCAGTGCCCAGTAAATGTGACACCTCAAGACAAAGCCCCCTTTACCCTATAATAGTTACAACTCTGATTACATCTCATTTTAACCAAAGAAGCTATTAACCCAGCTTAAACACCAATCTCACTCATCAGACCTATCTCCAATACAGGAATCTGGCTAATTCCAAAATCAGATTTGCCCTAAAAAAATGTAGATCTGCCACAGCCCATCATGTTTAAAATAATATACCAAAAGGTTCAGAAGGAAATCCAAGAGTTCCAAAAACACTTTTGGTCAAATACAATGATAGCAACATTACAGTATAGCCTACGAGGGTAGCTACTTTGTAGCTTGTAATCACAATATGAGTATATTCATATGTGTATGTATTTATGGCTACACAAATGCACATAAAAACCTGTCCCTCAGGGTGATGAATTGCTAAAGAAGGTACTAAGCACTCAAGTGCAACTTGTATAGGAGAGAGGAATTCTTTAGGGCTAATTTCATAAGAAACAGTAGCATATTTACCAATCATTTCTGAAAATTAGGTGTAAATTGAAGGAATTTTCTACAGCCCAGAATATTAACAACTCAGAAATATGACAATTTGGTAAAGAAAAGAGTACTGCAGATATTTTTAATAAAGTAAATGAAACATTTGTTAAACATTCAAAAAAGGTGGCATTATGTTATACATACTTTTGTCCCACAATTACATCCTCCTCTTCCATTTTCCAACTATGGTAACAAGGAGTCTAATACAAAAAAAGCATGCTGGGTTTTTTTTTTATGTATGATAACAGAAGAGGAGGGTGGGATGTAGCTGCCAGAAGGCTTTCTGAAATTTCAAACAAAGAAACATTAATAAAAATCTCCCCTCTACTATGACAAGAAAGGGTGACAGAAAACTTCTGAGTTTTTGCAACAGAGAGGTCAACGTGACACTGCTACATGGGCTGCTTGCCACAGGGTCAAGGGCTGCTCCTATGTGGGGAAGATCTCTTCCAACTGATGCCAATATCATCAGGGTCCATATAAGAGGCAGAAACATAAATGGGAAAAAATGAATATAATAAAAGGTCATGTTATAACTAATTTTATGTATTCTCAAATAAAGGGCTTTCTTCATGGCAACCCTGTGAGAGATCTTATGGTTTACAGACGTTGGAGGGTTTTTGGAATGAAAGTTCACTGAGAGTCAAGAATACTGTTAATTTTGTCTTTGTATACACAGCACCTAAGACAGTGCCTTGCATACCTAGATGCTTAATTTGTTTAATTATTTACACCAAACTTCATAACTCCAAAAAGTGCGACTACAATGCCTCATCATGGCATGGAAGTTATTCTATGTTTCTGAAGTTCATATTGTCAAGGTTCTTGAAGGTTCTATCATACTGGACAGCCCTTGAGTATGATCTTGTCAACAAACTAAGACTGTAAAGAATATTCCTAAAGACAAAACAACTGTTTTACACCAAAGACCCCAAAATGTGGGGAATGGATCTTACAGATGGAGAGATTGGGTTGGTAGCCTAGATGACCTGAAAATAGAAGCAGATTAAGAGGCTGCAAAGAAAGGAAGGATCACAGAGCTTTAAACCTTCTCTTAGACCAAGAGATATTGTAGGTCTGGCCTGGAAGGCAAGTAGCTACTTAAAGACCTACAAGTTCAAGGTGCCAAAGGATTACACTTCCCCTGGAGGTGCAAGTAGACTAGTGCTATATTGACTTGTTTTTCTATGTGAAAATAGGCTTAATTTCTCTTATTTTGCTCCAGACTTTGCAAGAAGTATTCTATCTGCTGGTCTAGGGACTGCCTAATCAGTGTGTGTAGGTTCTCTCGATCTGTTTCAAGCCTAGAAGTGTTGTGGCCAAATTAATTTGAAAAACTCTGAATTAGGTTAAAGTTTAGAAAATGTTAATGTGATACAGTGTAGAAAAACCTGATTTTTTTCTCTGTTCTCTAGATCTTCCATTCCTGAGCCATACCTATTACTCTTGCCTGGTATCCTCTCCTCCCTTCTGACTTGCCCCTAATCTGGAATCCTCATATCTAGAAACTTGGAAGATTTCAGTAGAAACTTACACTCTCTTGGATGACTGGGATTCAGGAGTGAGAAACCAATCAGAGCCCCCTTAGTATAACCTTTCCTCTCCCTACAAAATAACTGAGCTGCCACTGCTCTCAGCTGAACTAAGAGAGGTGCCCTGGAGCATGAATCTTTTCCTAGACCAGAGGTTCCCAAACTTATTTGGCCTACTGCCCCCCTTAAAAAAATTACTCAGCACTCCCCTGGAAATTTACTGTAGAAGGTAATGCTTAAGCCAAGTCTTAAAGGAATTCAAAGATTCCAAGAGGCAAAAGTAAGGAAACAATGCATTATAGGCATAGGGGATGGAACTCTATATGTGGGGAACAGTAATTATGTTAATATGTCTGGATGGTAGAGTGTATAAAGGGAAATAATATCTATAACTAGTAATATATAATTACACATTAAGCTGGAAAAGAAAGAAGGGGCCAGACTTTGAAGAGCACTGAATGTCAAAAAGAGATTATATTTTATTAGGGTAACAGAGAACCACGAGAGTTCACTGAGTTGGGAGGTCACACATAGTCATACCTACACTTCAGGAAAATCACAAGGATGATGGACTGGATGGACTGGAGTAGGGAAGAGACCTTTTGGTACAGAGGCCAAATAGGAAGTTATTATAGTTCATCCATAAGGTGAGGAGGGCGTGAAGTAGGGTGGTGATTATGTGAATATAATGGAATACTACTGTGCTAAGAGAAATGATGAAGACAACAGTTTCAGAGAAACCTCAGACAACTTGTATGAACTGATAAAGAATGAAGTGAGCAGAACTGCTAGTACTTATACAATAACAACACATTGTAAAGAGGCAGCTGGTGATGCAGTAGATATAGAACAGGGCCTGGAGTTAGGAAGACCTGAGATCAAATTTTGGCTCAAATATGTACTAGCTGGGTGACCCAAGAGAAGTGACTTACTTAACCTCTGTCTGCCTCAGTTTCCTCAATTGTAAAATTAGGATAATAACACCCTACCTTCCAGGGTTGTTGTGAGAATCAAATCAGATAATACTTTTAAGGTACTTAGCACTATGACTAGCACATAGCAGCTGCTCAATAAATTCTTGCTTCCTTCCTCCCTAAAGACAAACAACTTTTAAAGACTTAAGAACTCTAATCAATGCTATGACCATCCCCAAAGGACTCAGGATAAAAACAAGCTACCCACCTCCTGACTCCTGAGAGTGAAGACAGATTTGGAGCAGAATGAGACATTTTCTAGACAAAAACAATGTGGGAATTGATTTTGCTTGATCAAGCATATCTGTTACAAAAAGAAAATAGATTTGTATTAATTTTAAAAAAATTAAACTAATTAAAAAATTATAATAACCAAGCTTGCCTGGATTTAACGAAGAAATACAAGAAGGCACCAATCTCTTCATTTAAAAGGAGGGAAACTATGGGTGTGAAACAATGTTAATAATATCAAGACTTTTTTGATGTGCTGGTTAGTTTTACTGAATTAATTTTCTCTTTTTTATTCTTTTTATGAGGGATAACTTCCTGGGACAGGGGTTAAGAAATGGAAACTAGATGATAAAAAAGTTTAAAACAGTATCAATAAAAATATTTTAAAAATAACTGAATAAATAACTTGTTCCAGGATCTATTCTTTTTTTTTTTCCTTTGCTAGGCAATGGGGTTAAGTGACTTACCCAGGGTCACATAGCTAGTAAGTATTATGTGTCTGAGACCGCATTTGAACTCAGGTCCTCCTGAATCCAGGTTCAGTGCTCTCTCCACTGCGCCACCTAGCTGCCCCATCCAGGATCTATTCTAACTGAACTCTATCAAAAGAGATGAGAATGAGATGAATTGTAATAATCACAGCTCACATAATGCAGTAAGGTTTGCGAAGCACTTTATATACAGTTATCTCTTTTGATCCTCATAATAATTCTGTGAAGTGGGTGCTATGATTCCCACTTTATAGATAAGAAAACTGAGGTTCACCGTACACAGTAATAGCAATATCGTAATGATAAGCAACAGTGAAAGACTTAACTACTCTATTAAGACAATGATCCAAGACAATTCCAAAGGACCGATGATGAAAAATGCTATCCACCTCCAGAGACAAAACTGATGAACTCTGCTGACTGAAACATACTTTTTTACTTTATTTTTATTTTCTTATTTTAAAAAAAATTCACACATAATTGGGAAATATTTAATGAAGTAAATAAAAATAATTTAAAAAAACCCCTGATGTTCAGAGCAATTAAAGGACTTGCCTATGTTTACCCAGTTATAAAGCATCTGAAGTAAGATTCAAACCCAGGCCATTCACAAAAGCCACTATAACACGCTGTCTCCCAACAACAGAAAACAATGCTTAAAACAATGAGCAAACATATAAAGTTAAAATTTGCACCACATAAACGAAAAGACTTATTTTAAGACTGAAGAATAAAGTCATAGGACTTAAACGTATGGACATGGCCAAAGGGAAACTGCTACCTTTGTAAGAGTCAAGAAGTCTCATGAAAGAATTGCAGAATTTTTGGAATTATTTAAGGGAAGGCAGAAGAGAAAATAGAACAAAGTAGGTAACTGATAGAATTAGAAGTAGACGGTTCATTTATAGGGTAAGACCTAGGTACTTTGATGTCTGGAATGGGATAATTAAAGATATTTAGTAAATGGGCTAAGGGGAGAGATCATAGCTGGGGGAAATATACATTACAGGCAAAAGCTCAAGTTCTCTGAGCCTTGTAATATGAGGAAGGCTAAACGGAGCAGCCATAAATAGGAAGGGAGAGTAGAGGCAATGGTTAATAAGAGCTGAACCAGTATAACTTTTGCCTGCTCTAATAATACTCCCCTACCTTTTAAGGCATGACCTATACATATGGAATTAAATTTCCTTTGCTAGTTTAAAGAATATTAGCCTTCAGGGTACTGAACTAAGACCATCTGTTCAAAACAGCTTTTATCTAAATAACATGGAAAAGTCAATCAATACTCTCCGACTCTACTGTTAAATGGTATTGTTCCTATGTATATACTCTGACGACAGCTCATAGAACATTCAGTAATATTTTTAAAATGTTTATATATCGTACCATAGAAAAAGAAAAAAGATAAAAGTAACCTATTTATCAGTTTAGAAAACTGATAGATAACTTTAGGTAGCAAAAATTTCTAACAGAAACTCTCACTGGTACTACAAAAAAACCCACACCACCCTTTTTTTCAAATCTAGAAAATTATTTTTAAAAAACAACATTCTAGGAAAACGGATTCATAGAAAAACCCAAATAGAAAGCTGTTAAACGTTTCGTATACAGTTAGTTATTTGTAAGCTACCAGAAGGAAAAAAGAATTCTGTAATATATTATAGGAAGCTTTCCATAAGGCTAGTATCTAGGTAGTAAAAGAAGAAGTAATTATCAACAGTGAACTTTAATACTCAGACTTCATTAAGTACAATATTTTCTGAAGGTAATTACAGGATTTTAAACATCTGAGCTGACAATTAAAAATAAAAATTATATTCATTAGTTTTTTCCAACTCTTCCCCCTTCAGGTTTATACAAGGTATATATTAAAAACCCAAGGTACATTACTCCCATAATGTACTGGTAAGGTTTATTGCTAACTATAAAAGATATGAGAGCACTCAAAAAAATGAGATCTGGATTCTAGTTTCTAAACTTCAATCTATAACCAGTTATGTGACCTTGGGAAAGTCATATTCTCTCTGGGTTTTGGTTTTCTCACTTGTAAAATAAGGAGTTGGACTAGATACTAGGTAATTTCTAAAACTCAATTCTAAAATTATGTTTCTAGAACTATAACATCAAAAAATAATAAAAGTGTGCAATAACAGGTTTTTGTGCCTCAATCAAGAACAACAAAGAAGAATGGGGTATATATATAACCTTTTCTTTTTATTCATGCTAAATGAAACAAAAGAAGACAATTATTTGATCTCATAACAAGAGTGCATCATTAATTTACTAATCTTAACTTTTTGCTTTTCTGCTAGATTGCCTAAAGTAAAAGCCTATGTGTGGTCAACTTAACCCCTGTAATAAAGTCAATCTTTTTCTTAAAAAATAAAAAAGAGATAATTATTTGATTAAATTAAGCATTTATGAATTGCCTATTGTCATGCCAAAGATAGTCACCATTGTCACTAAAGAGAACCAGCACAGAATCCAAGTTGAAGAGGAATTCATTTGGACACACAGAAAAAAACAATTACTTTCTGGTATTCCTATATATAGATTATTACATACAATTAGATGGCAATCTGGAATTATACCCAAAGAGTTATAAAACTATATATATCCTTTGACCCAGAAATAGCACTAGGTCTACAAATTATGTCTGTTTCCCAAGGTGATTAAAAAAAAAAAGAAAAAGAACCTATATGTTCTAAAACAATGCTTCTTATACTATGGGTCAAGACCCCATATGGGTTTGCATAACTAAATGTGGGTGGTCGCAAAAAATCTGGCAACAGTAAAAGGTTTATAAATGAACAAGGATCAAAAATTAATTCAAACTCAAATGTGTAATGAATCCGAGGTGTTTCTGGCAGCGTTTGCGCGTTGCTGCATTGCATGACTTCACTGCAGCCTTGGTTCTGAACACACAACATACACACTTTGCATTGTACATGCCCTGAGGCCACACAATGCCAAAGAACACTGAAACTGGAAAAGGGGTCGTAAGCAGAAAAAATTTAAGACCTTTTCTAAAATATGTATAACAGCTCTCTTTGCAATGGCAAAGAACTGGAAATTGATGGAATGCCCATCAATTGGGGAATGGCTAAATAAGTTGTGGTATATGATTGTGGTAGAATACTACAGTGCTGTAAGAAATGATGATTAGGTTGATGTTAGAAAAACACGGAAGGACTTGCATGAAATAATGAAGAGTGAAATGAACAGCACCAAGAGAATTTTATATACAGTAACAGCAATATTGTTTGAAAAATAACTGTGAATGCTAAGTTATTCTGAGTATTATAAATACTCAAATCCACTACAAAGAACCTATGAAGGATGATACTATCCACCTCCAGAGAAAGAACTGATAAACAGAAGTATGCACAGTATGGTTGTGTGTGTGTGTGTGTGTGTATGGATTTGTGTCAAATGGTGGCCTTTTCTAATGTGGGCTAGGGGAAGGGAAGGAAACAGTTTGGAACTTAAAATGTAATTTAAAAATTAATTAGATTAAAAACAAAAACCAAAAAAGCCAAGGCCCACCTTTTCAATACCAATATCCTATTAGTGATATTGTATGGTTGTGAGTCGGGCAACTAGGTGGCAGAGTGGATAGAGTTCTGGGCCAGGAGTCAGGAAAACTTGAGTTCAAATCCAGTCTCAGCACTTACTAGCTGTGTGATCCTGGGCAAGTCACTTAACCCTGTTTGCCTCAGTTTGCTCATCTATATAAAATGAGCTGGAGAAGGAAATGGCAAACCACTCCAGTATCTTTGCCAAGAAAACCCCAAATGGAATCCTGAAGAGTTGTATATGACTGAAATGACTAAACAACAACAAAATGGTTGTTGAGTCATGGACTACTACAGTCTCTGAAGAAAAGAGTATCACAATGCAATGAAGGGATACATGGTGGGTGTAAGTAGGCTGTAACAAATAGAAATTAAGGAACTACAAAGAAAAACCAAAATAAAAGATGCCTTATTGGTAAAAAGCCTGACTAGCTTAAAATTGCACTAGGCCTACTGGAACATACTGTATAAAATCAAAAAAGAAAAAAGGCTAGTTATATGGAGAAAGTGAGGAACAACCAAAGGAACAGATGCTCCACTGGTCTCCTCTAGATTTTAGAAGGAAACAAGACAAACTTCCAGCATGTTTAGCTGATCCCCATTTTGAACTTAATAGGAGGACATGGACAAGAGTCACACAGAATAAGCAGACATGGATGGTCTGTGACAGGGGTGGGGAACCTGTGGTCTCAAGGCCACATGGGGCTTTCTAGGTCCTTGGGTGAGGCCTTTTCACTGAGTCCAAGTTTTATAGAACAAATTCTTTTATTAAGGGGATTTAATACATTAAGAGACTCTGTGATCTGTATCATTGTAGGGAAAATCTATATCAGTGTGATCATGGATCTAGTTGAATATTTAAATATACATATAAATATATTTGTTATTGTGCAGTTGTTTTTAGTTGTTTCTGTCTCTTCTTGATCCCATTTGGAGTTTTCTTGGCAAAGATACTAGAGCAGTTTGCCATTTCCTTCTCCAGCTGTTTATAGATAAGGAAAATGCCC